ACGGCCTATCTATGATAAGGGGCGCGTGTGGCGCAGTGGTTATAGGTGCCCTGCAATATACAAGGAATTGGTCCTGGCGCCACAAGCTAACCAAGCTTTCCATCCTTCCATGATCTGCAAGTTGGTACCACACTTGCCTGAGAGGACAGCAGCACTGACTCGGTACATCACTAGGCCACTGCGAGTCATTGTAAAGGCCAGATATGCATTTAATCACCCCCAACAGCGCGTAGGGAAGTCGAATGCATGGCGCATCCCTCAGGTATCGGATCAACGCCGACAGCTTCATTCTTTATCCTTTTATCTATGATAAATTTTGAAGAAAATTTTATCGTTTTTGATATGGAAATGCTCATGTACTGAGATGTTATTCAAAATATCATTGAGATGTCTCATTACAATTATTTTCTATTTATTGAACTTTACTAACACCGTAAATATGAATTTAATATAAACGACGTTGCATGGGAAGTCATTCGATGCAAATCTTCATTAAGTGTTGTCCTCTCACTGACGGAGCTGACAAGTGTTCACTGACGCCATGCTTGAATAAATGGTTTGCTGGTTTCTCAGTAGATAGAAGTAACGGATAGTGACAAACACTTTAGTCACTGGGGATTTTCTTTTGCACATTTTAGTTCCTTGTTATGAAAGTGCTTGCCTGTGACGTTAAGTTGTGACATAAGTTGTTTTTTGGTCAACTGAAGGACAACGAACTTAGTTCGTGTCGTTCGTGGCGGCCATTGAAAAATAGTGGCTTAACGACGCTTTGAAGAACATTGCAAAAAGAAATTGTATAATTTTAAACTACAGAGAGAATGTGTGAGGTTATTTTAAAAATTTGAATGGTAAGTGGAAAGAATGATGACACATTGTTGAGCTGGTAAACGGGAGCGAAACTATTGTATCTTCATTGACAGAAAGGCTTCTTAAAAGTACAGACTAAGTGAAATCGTCTTTTGTTAAATGAGCGAAAAGGTTGGTATTCACTGAACATCAAACTTTAATCTCGACAAAGTCTGAGCTGACGATAATAAGATATTAACTTTATTAGCCAAATTCTACTTAGCCTAACAGGTGTTGATGGAGTAAAATAACTCAAATATCATATTATATTTATAAAAGAAATTCATAAAGAATGTTCTAAGTGCCTGAGGCTGTTATATGGGAACAAAGAATTCTTAGATGACTAAATAAAAAGGATGGAAGCCATGAAGCAACAGAGCTAAGTGATGTTGTTCACGAACAAGCCTTTAGAATAGTAAAGACAATGTGGTATGGAAAAAATGTGGATGTCAATGAAATGTAAGGAATAGACTCTACGAGATTTTGCTAGAGGCGCGTGTAGCGCAGTGATTGGAGGCATTCTGAAATACACATAGGATCGATCCGACGTCCCAAACTCATGAAGCCGTTCATCCTTTCGTATTCGCCAAATTGGTAGTAGAATTGTTTGACAGAATAGCAGCACTGACTCGATACATCGGTAGGCCACCGCGAGTCCTTGTAAAGGCCAGATACGCATGCCAACACCTCCAAGAAGAATCCTTAATGAAGCTGAATGCATATCGCGTCCCTCAGGGATTCGTCAACCTTTGTCCTTTATCCTTCATCCTTTAAAATTTGCCTGGCTGCGTGTAGTTGGGTAAGTAGACCATTCTCACAAGTCGTGCAGCATGCCTCAGCACTATTTGTATTCGTTCGTCATTTGTAATCTTCGTCTAGGACAATGTTCTGTTTCGAATGGTGGTGACTTATAGAAGACTTATCACTTTTTATAACTATGAGTACAGCTGTCTAACGATGGATACAAATTTTCTATACATTATCTATTCTTTTTTGATATCGACGTTGACGTTCAACTCCTCTATCTGCAGTCAATTCTTTTCATCACCTAACCTATCCAGAATCGATATTTCAAAGCCTCACCTGTATTTCACCTTTCACTTCTAATCTTTTTGTTCTTAAAAACGCAATATAGGTCGAAGTTCGAACTATGAATTGATTTGATGTTTTATGTACCGGTTGTACCTCAGAGAAGTTAATATTGTGGAGTATTTTTAGCGACACTGAGATAATAGCTCACACGTTGGTTGCATGGTTGTGCGATAGTGAAACTATTCAATCGAACTGAGCTATAGAGGAATTCTGGCCAGCGAACTTCGGTGACTTCATCTGAAGCCCAAATACGACTTCTATTCGAGTATTGTGTCATGTTCCCTCATATCACCTCCCATTTTCAACAAATTCTGCATAGTCAGGGATATATTTCTTGTAGCAAAGCTGCAGGGGCGTGGATAGCGCAGTGGTTAGTGGTACCGTCGATCAGGAAGCAAAAGGCGTTAATTCGATCTACGCGCCAATGCTCTCTTCTAGTCCATGTGGGAGCGCTTTAGGTTAGCTATCTCCAAGATTGCAAGGAGAATCGTCTCAATCGACCACCACTCTGCCGCATTCATAAAGAAGAGGAATCCTTATGCAGCAGCTGAAACAATACGATAAATGTTCGAGGACCATTGTGGATGTTGGAGGCAAGGAAACGAATTGAATACGGGAAGTGCTGGGATCCGCACAGTGCATGTGATGATGGGTAATGTAAAGTAGAAAAGTCTGCTATCAATCTGGCCTATTCTCTATAGAATTATCAGTATATGGCTAGTCGTGCTTTCCACTTTTATACAATATTGTCCTTTTAACGCTTCATTGAGCTCTTTGAGTATCATTTCCGCTTCACGGATACTTTTCTGAAGGATAACGATGCCGTCAGTATAACGGAAGTTTGATAGGATTTTTCCCTTTTGCGGCCGCTACCTTCAGTCTAATCGTATGACTTCCGATGTAGACGTACAACCAATTCCCAGACTACAGAGCTTGAAAAAAGGAAATCCTTCTTACGATTTAGAACATGGTCAATACAGCGGCATTCGTCTTCAACTTTTTTCTTACTTAATTGTCTGGGCATAATCTAAATCCCTTCTATTCATCATAAAATGGCTTGTGGGACACACGCTAATCAAATTGAGCAATAGCTGGAATATTGTTTCAGTCACGTTTCTTCGCTTAGATAAGGCCCTCTAGTGGTCAATTCACAACAATAGGGCTTGTATTTCAACTTAATTTATTAGAAGTATTAACAGTACCTTGAAGAAGAAACTTTCCCAGAAATCACTTCTGCCGAGGAAGAAACATAGTATCGAGATGAAAAACGATCTCCAAGGGTGGATGTCAAACTGGTGGTGAGGGCCTGAAAAACCGTTACACGCGTTTATTCATAATGAAGATTATGATGTCCGCACCATTCCTTTCAAGAGAGAGTACATCCAGATGTAAGATCCAAATACAGTGCCATGAATTCGATCACTCTGTAAAAATTCGCATGGCCTGTGCGTAGTTCTTAAATACGAATGTTGGCGGATTGTAATGAAATCAACTTCATAAATTTTCAAACGATTTGGACTCACTTTATTCACTTTATTTTTCCTGGTACATGATCGTTCTTGATACGGTGTCCACTGCAAATTTTTCCTAACTATTAAAGTCTATTTCATTGAAAGTGTTTCGTTATAAATTTTATTATCATACATGTCGTAACGCTAGATCACGGTGAAGGCATGTTAAGCTGCACTCCTGAGGGATAGAAAATTGGTACCAAACTTGTCTGGGATTTGCAAAACTGCCTACGATGAAAATCTGGGAACACCTAGGCACGGCAAACCCAGGATTTCAGTGAAAATCGTCTTAACCATCATTCAGCTACATTCAGAAGACCACAAATCCTCAGTTGCAAATTGAATATCACCAGAGATCCGAGATACTTCATGGCTATCAGATTCGACGAAGTCAAACAAACGCAAAAAGTGCTGCGATCCGCATAATACGCAGTTTCCGAACACGTGAAAAAAACTTGCCATTAGTTTATTTTTGCTTACTTTCACTTATTTTTTTAGTTTATTTTTACTGAATATTTAAAACGCAGTCTTGTTTTCATGAGAAATTTCACCGGTCAGGTTTACTTGGGCAATTTTCCAATGATCTTTGATGCTGTTAAGTGCATAGTTGACGACTGAGGTCCGCCAGCTTTTGTCTACCACTCATAATGTAGTAAACTTTCCAATGATGAAAAAGGAGAGAACGAGCACGAAGGAGAATTAGGTAGAGCACACCCCGCTGCCCTTTGTCATGTTGCTAGTTGTGTCGAAATTATTTCGTGAAACTCGTGCACACCGTTAGGGCGGGCCTGACGACGAGCAGTTATTTTGTTTCCTCAAGCGCAGTGCTCTATTTTGAGACCTAGTATGACGCCATCTCTGTAGATCGCCTGCTGAAAAGCAGCTTATTTTTAATATAATGCGTTATATTCCGTTGTATTCACCAGCTCGTCTATAGTTAGACATGAAGTCTTTAAAAACTGATGAACTTGAAGCAACCTGCTTTTTGTAATATTTTCTGTGATACTTTATAGCTCTTAGGTATAATGAAATCAGCCAAGATATCCATAAAGGATAAAGGATAGAGCTCTCAGCGTCGATCAATTCCTGAGGGATGCGCCGTTCATTCGATTTCATGAAACATCGTTTGGAGCTGATCGAATACTTATCTGGCCTTTACAATGACTCGCGGTCGCCTACCAATGTATCGAGCCAGTGCTGCTATCCTCCCGGAGAAGTCTGGCAGCAATCTGTCGACCTCGGGCGGATGGAAGGCATGGTGTACTACGGGCGTGGGAATCGATCCCGTGTGTATTGCAGGGCGCCTCCGGCCATTGCGCCAAGCGTGCCAAAATATCCAGAAAAACATTTTTCTAGTGCAGGAATAAAGTCGTCCTCGCAAAGCGTTTTTTCTTTAGTAACAAGGCTAACATTTTAAGCGTCATCGGTGCTGTCCACTTTTGCACTTTGCTTGAACTTGTCATTCAAAAAAGTTTCATTTTTAGTTTTACAGCTTAACGGCTGTAGCTCATTTAAGTTGTTTCTTGCCATTTTTTAACACTTTACTCATCGATGGCTTTCCTACTTTGTCTGCTGAACGATTTCTCCTTATGGATTTCGCTCATTACAGAAACCATGCGTGAACAATCCGGTTCGATTAGCAACACATCTCGTCCAACTCTTCCCACATGCCCATCGCTGATGCCATCACAGGTTCCTTATATTTATTTCTTTCAACTTAAAAGTATTATTAAACAATTTTTTGAAGTGTTCCTTTTGCTCAGAAGCCCAAAGTGTATATTTATTTCGCGTGTTTCTTCTCCATCTATCCTTTACAAGGCTGGACGATTTGTCTCGTAATGTAGTTTCATGAAAAACCCTACCTGAATTTGAGATGTACTTATGAAGCTCTGTTTTTAATCTAACATGTTTGTCTTGGACATATATTGGCAGGGTAGATTGCAGTCAACTTGACCTTTCCAGGTTCTGAGGAAGGCGAAATCCGCTGAAATATCAGCTTTAACGGAATAAAGGATAAAGTAACACCTCGTGTTTGCTCAATAAGAATATAAAGAATATATTGTTGAGTTTTCGATGATCATAGAATGAACTTGCGCTAATGTTTTCTGAGAATTAATAAGAATAAAGAGAGACATAGAAGAATCTGATCTCTGAGAAATTTGAGAGAATAAAAGACATTTCATTTGAATTGATAAGGTTGACAAGGTCACCGACTGAAGGAACAAGCTGACAAGAAATAGCGAAGCTTAAAAAACAAACCATAAAACTTTCTAGATCATGTCTATTGTACAAGTTTTCATTGCCATTAGTTTAGGTGGCGGTGCTTCGTAAATCATGGAAACATATCAACACTAAAGGACTCATTACGGTTCTTTCCAGATGCTTCCAAAGGGTTGGTAATCGTTTTGTTTAGCTCTATTCTTAGTTTTATTTCAATGGAAAAGTGCAACCAGTGCTGTTCTCTAAACGTTTTAAGTGGTAACTAAAAATTATAAACCTTTCTGTGATAAATTGATTTCACGCACAACGTACTCCTTTAGCTGGTGGTCCACTGGACGAAACTGCTGTCATTTGTAGCAGAAGAATCCTAATCAGAAAACAGAAAACCTTTATCCCTTCAATGCCTTCGACGCTTTAGAAGGATCACGGAACGATTCTATTGCATATCAGGGATCATCAGAGCACTGATTTTTGAGGATTTTAATGAAAACTATGCTCATTCGGAATATAGGTATGAAGAGGAGGTGTCAAATCGTTGAGGTGCATGTGAGTCCAGATATGAACCACTCTATATCTGTGGACAACAGTTACAAGAGAACAAAAGGAATCCCAGAAGTTTTTCTGTTTCTTAAGCTCATATGAAGGCACGCATCTAACTATCTAAATTATAAAGTAGTCCAGGTAAACTTCCACTTAGCAGCTTTATGACATTGGTGGTAGTTTTCCGACAGCTGCTGACAAGTTATCGGCTTTTTTCGAATTTCCCAAATATCCGAATTCAAAAAAGGTCAGCACAGTGAAAAATTGAAATTTCTTCTACGAGAGCGCCTCAGCAATGACTTCAGTGTACAAATAGTCGAGGACATATTGCGTCCTGGTGGCCGAAATCTCGTTTGTTAAGTGGCTTCGCTTCTGTTCACAGCACTGCCCAAAATGAGAAAAAAAGATGAGAAACAAAAAATATTCACTGTTTTTAAAAAGGAAAATTGTGCGAGAATACAAATGATTTGTTTCTAACAGTTTCTATCTTGAAAAGCTCTGCTGTTTTCGAGCCAATTGCATTGAAATCAATGCGGACCTTTGTGGAGTTCCTAATCTTCCCATTTTAGAAGAATAATTGACTCTCTGCAACCATTGACATTAAGTGTGTCACTCTTTGCTGTGAGGCAAAATGGAAAAGAACAAACTAAGCTGAGCGTCACAAACTAAGCCGATCGTCACGAACACTTCCTCATTCGACAATTGTGTTTTTAAGTCTCTTAATGGAAAACATTTCCTTACATGGCAATCGCACAATTTTGAACTTATTCTTTATTAATCTCTAGGTAATTTCTTGATGGGATGTGATACTGTTACTGGGAGGCACTCTTAAATCTTATAGAACGTGGAAGTAATAAAAGAAGTTTTGCATTTGAATTATAGCTTGTTCCGTCTCTCCTGGTGGACTTTGCATAGTTTCGTGGACTTTTAGGACGGAGGTTTCCGTCAACAGCGGTTGAAATCCTCATCACTTTTTGAAAACCACTTTTCTCAAAAGAACAAAGTGATTCGTTCCCTACATTTTATTCTTTTCCCAGTTACTATTATCGTTCCTTCATTCTTTGAAACAATACAGCCAAAAACTTTTTCGTTATTCTAGAAAATCGGATAATGCCTTAAAAGTAATTCTATGCGAAAGGAAACTGACCATTACAAGCACTTCCTAGGTGCGTTTTACCTATAAAAAGGGATAACGCTCTTGGCGTTGATCAATCCCTGAGGGATGCGGCTATGCGTTCGATTTCATCAAGCGTCGTTTGGATGTGATTGAATGAATATCTGGCCTTTACAATAACTCGCGGTGGGCTACAGATGTATCGAGCCAGTGCTGCTATCCTCCCAGACAAGTCTGGTATCAACTACTGAGCACGATGGGGTAGAAAGGCTTGGTGGGCCATGCTTGCGGGATCGATTCCATGTGTGTGTTGCAGAGCGCCTCCGACCGCTGCGCCACACGCGCCTTATTTTGCTGTTAAAAAACCAGATAAAGGTACTATTTACATTTATGTGGAGGTTTGTTAAGTAGAAAAAATGATGTTCTTGGTAATTCATACTCACATTCGGTTTGATGTTCGGCTTATCAAACGTCTTTCTGAACTTTACTTTTCTGTTGTGTTATACTTTTTGCAGACGAAGATTATTTTTGGCGATAGCTTTGGATATAGCAATATTCGTTGAAGGATTTCATTACTAGTTTAGTTGGCATAAACTCACATATGAAGATTTAAGCTATGTGTATTGGGGTTAAACCAACATAGAAATTTTGAGCCCCGATGTCAGCTTCAACTACTTCAATTATCATAACTGAATTCCTTCTCACTCGTGTTTACGTTCTTTCACGATTTCCTATCTCTCCTTCGACTTCGTGAGTTTTCACTCACGAATTTTTTTAATGGGGGTGCTTTTATACGGCACGAATGCCATGCAAGAAGTTTTATTATCATGATGTTTAAGTTAAAAATAGTTCTGGTTGTCATAGAGAGCAATGCTAATGCGGAATATGAATCGAATCGGAAACAAGAATTGACTCCATTGAATAGAATATGCTTTTTTTTATTCCTAAATAATGGCCTTAAATAAATGGGATAAATCGCTATCATTTTATCGTAAGTAGCAAAATATTAAACGAAGTGTTTGGAGTTGATCAAATTCTGAGGGAAGCGTTATGTATTCCACTTCACCGTACGACCTCCATAACTTTCAGAGATCTACTGATCCATGATTCTGATCGTATTTTCATTCCCTCAAACGTCTGTGGTACCAGTTTTACAATTCTGTAAAGAATAGGAACTTTGTGAGAACGGTGCACGGAATCGAACTTAGGACCATGTGTGCATTGCGGGGCACTTCTAAACATTACGCTACACGCGTTCATACTTTTATTGTAGTTGGTTTTCATTGTGAAGAATATTCACTGAAGCTAGTTCGAACTGTTCTCTGTAAAAAAGAAGGGAGCGTTTTTGTTTAAAAGAAATACTTCTAGCGAATCGACTAGACTGAGTAGTCTAAAACACCAACTGTAAAAAGAATGCCATAAACATAGAGAAAACATAAGGACACACTTTTCACTAGAAAGGAGATCTAGTGATTTCGACCAAAAAAAAACGCCAGATATCATAAAGTTTTTAATGTAAACATAAAGGTCGGTGAGCTATTATAATAATACAATGATGCTGAAATACTTCAAAGTTCAGACCACAATCCAGATTTGAACTCGCGATCGCCCTTTCCGGGAATTCACATGTTATCCACAACACCACTGAGGATATTGAGGATATTGCTTATCCTTTTTCTCAACCAGCCTTTTACTCTCACGGTACCGTCGATAATCACCCGTCAATGGGAATGATCTGGAGAGAACAAATACGCATTGAACCCAGTTAAGTTGGGGCTGCAGTCGAAATCACAATGTACAACTTTTATTTGGTGCCTTTTATTTTTTTTAACGACAGGATATTCCGTGGAATGCAACCATAGTGGTGCTTAAACATTTGCAAAACTTAGGCCGCAGGCCAGATTCATTCACATTGACGGGCGCCATTAGTGTAGAAAAAAAAATACACAGCGAGGGTGCAGTGAGTAACGTGGGAACCGCCCCGAAGGCTGATAGCTGGTTAGAATCTGGCCTGGGAACTGAGTTTTGCAAATATGTCACCATCGTTGTGGTTGGATTTCACATAATACCCCGCCATGAAAAGAATTGAGTGTTAAATGAAGGGTTAAATGCTGTGGTTTCGATTACAGTATCAACCTGAATATGTTCAATGCCCACTTGCCTTCCTTAGATCATTTTCGCTGACGGCTGATTGATGATGGAACAGTTAGCTAAAGAATTGGATAACAGAAAAGCGCAGGAAGAGCCTCAGTGGTGCAGGGAGTAGCACGTAATGCCTCGGAGAAAGTAGTGGCGAGTTCGAATCTGGTATATAATCTGCGTTTTGAAAATATCTCGGCAACGTTGTGGTTGTATTGCGCTTAGTACCCTGCCGCGAAATTATAGTAGGCAGAAAATAGAAAGGTATAACATTATCTTAGCACCATTGTGGTTGGATTCTATATGATACCTTACCGCGAAGAATGAAGGAGCAGTAGATAAAAAGTCATTAATTACAATATTAACTTTACAACGAGTTAACTCTCTACTGGGCTAGACCGAAGCACCAGGCCACAAACTTTTTCCTAGGTTATGTGGCTTAAAAATCTTAAATAAAGTCTGTTTTTATCGCGGTATTCTTTTTCAGAGCGTTTTTATCATTCATTCTCAAATAATTTTCCATGATGATTATTTGTATGACCACTTTTTTTTTAAACAAATGTGCTGTTATGAGGCTTTCATTTATTTTATTGGCTTTTTTTAGAGCACTTGCTATTTCTACCATGTAGTTTTGTCTTTATTTGTTGCTTTAGGTTTCATTAACATTTTTTCTCATTGTTTAAATTATTTGCTGTGTTTAACCAATTTTTAAACATATCGTATTCCGGATTGGTTGTGTGATCAAATCTTCGACGCCTCGTCTTTTTCTTCGCCGATTTTAGACGATAAAACAGATATAAAAAATAAGGATAAGGAATAAAGCTCTTGCCGTTGATCAATCCGTGAGGGATGCACCATGCATTCGACTTGATCAAGTATCGTTTGAGGTGATTGAATGCATATCTGGCCTTTACAATGACTCGCCGCGATGGTCTACCGATGTGTCGAGCCAGTGCTGTGGTCTTCCCAGGCAAGCCTGGTACCAATTTACCAACCCCGGAGTGATGGAAGGCTTTGTGGGCCATGGGCGCGGCGATCGATTTTACGTGTGTGTTACAGGGCGTCTCCGACCACTGCGCCACACGCGTCCTTTTGAAACAGAGTTGAAGCAATAAAAAAATTATTTGCGTACTGGCCACTTCTTTATTCTGGATAAGCACAGTAGATAAGTACAAATAAGTGCTTACTACTAACATTTCAAGGAACATAGATGGTCCACCGGAGCTCTTCCAATCGTTAGTGATAAATGGAATATTGAGAAACCTACTAGCTAAAGTTTTCTTTCATAGATTTCCAAAATATATTTGTTGTCACAATGCATGTGTGCAGGTAATCGAAAGAATTATGGCTTCAAAGCACATAAATGTTAGTTCGCTGCTACACTTGTGTGAGATATTCTTTGGAAACGATGTTTTGGATATTGCGGGAACACATAGAATGACATCCATTTCCTTAAGAATCGAAGAACATGAGAAAAGCCATGGTGCGACAACTACTGGGTTTATACGTGACTTTCACATTTTAACGAAGGTATGAAGCGGAAGTGAGCAAATAGAATGCGGCAAAGTCGCTTATCGTTTAGTGCAGTGGTTAGAGATGCTGTTCAGTTCGATAGTGCCCCCGGACTAACCAAGCACTGTATTCATGAAATCACAACCAGACCTTTTTTTAAGGATAAAAACTCCGACGTAATCTGATTATTGACCTAATAGGTCACTAGCCCACCGAAAGTCATTGTGCAGGGCAAATTTGCATTGAATCACCTCTACCGTGGTACGAATAATGTTGGTTGGTGAAACTGTCGGAAGCGGTAGCAGTCGGAGGCACCCTGCAACACAAGCGTGGAATAGATCCCCGTGCCCATGGCCCACCAAGCCTTCCATCTCTCCGGGATCGGCAAAGTGGTACCAGACTTATTTGGGAGGATAGCAGCACTGGCTCCATACATCGATAGGCCTCCGCGAGTCCTTGTAAAAGCCAGATATTCATTCAATCAACTCCAACGATACTTAATGAAATCGAATGCATGGCGCGTCCCTCAGGGATTGATCAACGCCTTGCGCTTTGTTCCTTTTTATTTTTGTCGTAGACTTCATTTCTAAAAATAGTAGTTGTAATAGAATGACAAATATTTCTGTGGTAATGTCTAGTAAGGTTTTCTAGATATAGATCAAGAAAAACCCATTTAACTCTAAAACTGCAGTTTCACCTACAATGCTGAAATGTTTGCAAAACTCTGGGCCGCAGGTGTCTGCGGTGGGGAACGAACGCGCTATTGTCTTTTCCGGGGAGCAACGCGTTCACCACCAAAACATGCGGGTCCTTCGTTTCGCCTGTCTCTGAGCTGGTGCTATCGGTCTTATACCATCAGCAATCACTCGTCAACGGGATTGAACTGGGGAGCCCAAATCGGCATTGAACGCAGTTAAACTGATGCTATAGTTATAATCACAATCTTAACCTTTTTATTTACTACCTATTCTTTTTAACGGCAGGGTATGTTGCGAAATATAACTTCTATAATACTGAGATATTAGAAAAACTCCAGACCGCAGGCGACAGGCGAAACGATGGACCCGCATGGTGTGGTGGTGAACGTGTTGCTTCCCCCGTAAAGGACAATAGCGCGTTCGTTCCTCACCGTAGACACCTGCGGTCTGGAGTTTTGCAAATATCTCAGCATGATAAAAGTTATATTTCGCAACATACCCTGCCGTTCAAAAGAATAGGCAGTAAATAAAAAGGTTAAGACTGCAGTTCCAATTTTTATGGAGTTGCCGAACTTCAACGGGTTTATCATTAGTTGTAGAGATCGGTTCATTATAGCTAAAGCTTTGCATCCTCTTATTTAAAAGGTTTTTTAGACACATATTTAAATTGTTTTATTATGTTTAACTATTAGATACAAAGAAGTAGTCAGCGGTTAAACCATGCTTGTGCCCACTAAAAGTTCAATCTGGTTCCTATAAGTTTCCCTATCACTTCAGAATTTTTTTCACGTCTATTTGCCATTCTGACTACGTTCTACCGTATTCCGAGCATAATTTGTTTTTGTTTTACTAGTGCTCAGGTTAAATAACAAGTTCGCGTTGAATACCGAATGGTGACATGCTCGTCAAGTTGCGGAAATCGCGTGATGTGTACAACATCGAGACGGCTATGATTACTTCCGGCATCAGAATATTCAATTCTCTTAGTAATAATACAAAACAACAGTAATTAATAGTAAAAGTTAATAATTGCAACAACAATTAATGAAAATAACAGGTGTCAATACTATTGAACCACTGCGGAAAAGTAGGGAAACCCGGTTACCAAGACGGAAGCTAAAAAAATTCAATGCAGGCCTTCCAGGATTCTAGATGAAGAGCTAACTGGTTTCTTATCTACTTGCTACAAAAATATGTTTACTATAAAGTCAGAGTACCTATATTGGGCAGCTGAGCGCGGTTCAATTCGACAAAAGCGTAGATGTTTTCAAAGATTTCTTTTCGCTTCATCTTTGAGTTCCCAACGACTTGATTTTTTAATAAGGTTTAGATTTGTACTGATTTTTTTTTAAAAAAATGCTTGCTTTCAGTTGGAATCATCGTGTCCAGTAGTGTCTCAGTGCTTCTCATCATCACAGCAAGAGTTGTCGACCGTTCAGCAATGCTCGGTCCGAACAGTGGCTGATCATGCCAGATTTCTTCTCTCAATGCTCGACAAGATCATCGACTCCGAACAGGTAATCTTCAGGTCACCAGTTCTATGAAGTGTCAATTTTTAGTGTAATCCATGACAAACCGTGTACTAGTGCTATCGTTTTTGTTTTACGTGTTAGGTGTCACAACGGCAAAGAAACTCGAACTTTAGTTGTCTCATAGCGGAATCACCTTATATTCAGCAGGCTATCAAATCTTCTAAACGGGATAAGAGGTTAGCAAACCAAATAAAAGACAATCTAATTACCTTGCTGATTGTTGAAAAAATTGCATTAAAATCGAATAATCTCATGAAGAATAAGGAAAAGTACAGTCTGAACTTTAAAATAACGTGTAGAGCAGCGAAAGTCGGAATTGCGGTGGCCTTCCTCGATGAAGAAACGCTTAACCCTTCATGCTGCAGAGTCCCAAATCTTTGAAAGAAAAACATATTTCTTTATACAAAACGTGTTTTATCTGTCTCTTACAGCCAAAACGTGGTACTGAAGTTGTCACTGAAAACGAACCGTCTCTGTTGCCCACTTCTGATTTTTCCTTACTCATCGTTTTGAGATTAAAATTTCCTTGATGGTTGATAATTTCGTTTTCGTCATCTTATGAATGCATAGAATCTTTTGTTCAAATGGAAACTACATTCATCTTTTAACTATAGGATACTTTAACGACATACAGTGAGTGGCGAGGGTTAAAGCGTAGGACGATTAAAATGTTGAGGGACAACGAAATTAGTCCCAGTAAGTGCCATGTTCTCAATGGTGAACCCCACGAAAAACGATCTTTTATGAACTATGAAGAAGAAAATGGTTTCAGAACCGACTTTCACTTTCATTAAACCTCAGTAATAATAACCAATAATTTTTCACATAAATCAGTTTGCACGAGGTTGGCTCAAACTTTTATCCGGCTAACGTTTCTGCACCTTCGCTTTCTTCAAAGACCATATTGCGATAGCGATCAGCTGTAGACCGTCGACATGGGTCGACGCGGTTCTGAAGAAGGCGAAAGCGTCGAAACATTAGGGAAATAAATCTTTTATAGGAAGCCCGTGTCGGCTCAGTCATCTAAAAAGTTATTGAAAAAGTTTTTGTTTTCGCTTTATCATTAACGGTTAAAATAGTACAGCAGAAGTTGTATTACGTTTGAAATATCGCTGTGGTTAGAAGTACCCTACAGCGAAGAAGTAGTCACTGGTTCAATCTCGCACATTTGGCTAAACGAGTCTGTCAACTCTTCGCGGCTGGCAAATTGCTTGTAATAATTGTCTGCAGAGAAAAGCATTAACATATCAAATCGGTGTTGCTCCACAAGTAACTACATGAGCCAAGTATGCACAATTCATAATCTTTGCGCTACTAGGTATGGAGTCGAATGCATGGTCCTCCTTTCAGAGACTGTTCAAAACCGAAGACAATGTCATTTACTCTCCACGTTTGATATGCATAGGACGCATCTTTCACAATAATACAAAAATCTCAGACAGCAGGAAATTAGGACAAAAACATGATGAGCCCAGATTGAAGCGAGAAGATGAAAATAATTAATTACACATAAACTTAAAAAACAAGTAGCTGATAAGAAAAACAATGAATTTTGACCCTGGGCACTAGAAGACACAAAATATCCTACTGTTCGCATTTATTTGCCATAAAGATGCTAAAGTATGACTTTATAGTAAGAATCGACGACGTCGAAAAAATTGGCTAACGCCTCGCATTTTTAGGATCTTGAAGAAATTCGAGAAATTGGAGCTCGACATTGCGTCCTAAAGCAGAGATGTGGTTTTGGCGCAGCCGAACTTGACAGGTTCCAAGAGATTTTCGTGGAAGTGATTCTTAAGCAAGATGGAGTCAGACAAAGTAAAGAAGCCAGGTAATTAAATTACTAAAAGGATAAAAACGAGACTAAATAAATAAAAAAGGATAGAGCTTTCGGCATTGAACAATCCCTGAGGGATTCGTCATGCATTCGACTTAATTGAGCATCGTTTGAAAGTGATCGAATGCATACCTGGCCTTTACAATGACTCGCGATGGCCTACCGATGTATCGAGCCAGTGCTGCTATTCTCGCAGACAAGTTTGGTACCAATTTGCTGACCCCGGAAGGATGGAAGGCTCTGTGGGTTATGGTCTCAGGGATCGATTCCGTGTGTGTTGCAGGGCACCTCCGACCACTGTGCCACGAGACTAAATAGGAACGGTAGTAATAGTAAGCAAAATAATGTAGCTCATTAATATTAATGGTAACTAAAAGTAGTGACATTGTTAATAATAAAGGTTAAAAGATAAAGCGTTTCACGTTGAAAAATTCTTTACGGGTGTATTATGCATCCCAGTCGATTCACTGCATAGTTCTGGTGTACTGCATAAATGGACAATACAATGGCTTACGGCGGCCTACCGATTCCTCAGTTTAGTGCTGATATTTTGACCTTTCCAGGCTCTGAAGAAGGCGAAACCGCCGAAACGTCAGCTGTTGTATCCTAATAAATCCTATAATAACAACCTCGTGTCTGCTTATCGAAGAAAAACATCGAATTATCAATCAATGCCGAGGTTAAAAGAAAGTCGGTCATGGGAATTGCTACGTGAAGTGCTAGCAGAATATTTCCGACCCGTAGAAGAAGTCCTGTCACTAAGACAAAAAATTGTCTTAGCTAGACAGACGATACTCTTTTTCCGCCGCTGCCTAAAACACCAAGTTGTTTTTCTTCGTATTTTTGTTGAGCAAACGCGAGGTGTTACTATTCTTTGTTCACAATTAAGCTGACGTTTCGGCGAATTTCGCCTTCTTCAGAGCCGCTTCCTATGAGGTTTCCACTAAGTGTGTCACGTAGAGACCAACCGCACAGAAATCACGTGGAAGTATAATGTGGAAACCTCATAGAAAGGCGGCTCTGAAGAAGGCGAACGCCGAAACGTCAGCTTAATTGTGAACAAAGAATAGTAACACCTCGCGTTTGCTCAACAAAAATACGAAGAAAATCACTTGATCAATGCCGAGGTTAATAGAAAGTCGGTCGTGGCAGTTACATCAAGTTGTGCCGAACTTCATCAAACGAAAACGACTACACGTTGTATGCGGCCTACGAGGGACAGCCAACTAGTTAGTGGACATCGAAACGCGACTACTACGCGGCTCTCTTCGATGCAAACAGGACACCACGTACGCGCTATTGAAGAAATACAAATCGAAGGAATCTTACTGTGTTCAGTAGTTGCAGGATTCCCTTTGGAGGAGAATAGTGGGTGGGTCGATTTTGATTTGCGATTCTATTAGGTCAAATGCTAAAGTAACCTGAAGCGGAAAGTTTCAAAATTTACTAGATCATTCGCAAAAACCAGCTTCAATTAAACAAAACAGAATCGTTTACGAAAACGCTAGCACTAAAAATGTGGTCGATAACGTACCTGAAAAGTCACGGGTCACAGTGTTTAGGAGGCACAACTTTACCTGATGACGAGCGCTCGCTATTAGAATTGGGTCCAAGTTTCTCACGAGCGCAACCCATTTCTAAACAAACCTTGCGTGGGATCGCGTGCAGCCTGCACGAACTCCAAGATCGACTCCAAAGCAACGCTAGAATTGAGACACAAAATAGGAAGGAACAACGAGAAGTAGAGGCACTACCACCACCTCCATTTCCTCGGTTATTCTTTAAACACCAAGACCCAAACGACAAAGTTGATATAAAATTTCGTATATTTTCGAGCGAAACACTCACAGTCCTTAACTACTACCGCGCGAAGAAGTTTAGTTCGAACCAACAGATGCGCGAAAACCTGGTATGCGGCAGGTTCGAGAGCTAATAAAATCAAAGATTATTAGGCTATCAGTTAGTGATAAGGGTAAAGAGTTTGTAGTAATTCCTCGCTAGTTAGATGTCAATATATCAAAAAAAACATCTTGAAGACTCATCTCTTTATTGCGCATCTACTGAAAAGGAATTCAGAAGTCAAAATCGAAAACTGAACGACGAATGGGTCAAAATGGCAAGCGTAGCAGGTTTAAAACCAGCAGACATTTCGCATCTTAAGGTTGAAGTGCCGACATATCCCGTTTTATACTGACTTATCAAGACCCATTGGTTAATATCCGCTGATGATCTGGCGTCTACCGACCCCTCCACTTTTAAAGTGAGACCCATCATCAGTTGTGTAGACGGGCCTACGGTAGAATTGCTTCGTTTTTAATCCTAATCCTCAACCAGTTGCTTAGGCACATACTAGCCCATCTCACGAACACCCATATGTTCCTAGACCGTCTGCGTAACGCACGTCCCAAAAGCGCGCACGTTATGGAGTCGTTCGACGTTACCGCCTTTTACACTAACGTGTCGAACGACTCCGCAATGCAAGCCATCCGAGAGCTTCTTGAGCAACACCAAGGAGCAATTAGCATGTATGGCTTTTCGATTCAGCAGCCAATGGTCCTCCTAAAGGTCTGTTTAAACTACTCGATCTTCAGATGGTCCGAGAAATATTACGCACAAACTAGAGGGTTGGCAATGGGACAGCGACTGGTACCACGCCTTGCCATTGCATTCATGTCTAAAGTCGAAGCACCAGTAATTGAACTCAGGCCGTTACTCTACTGCAGGTATATAGATGATTGTTTTGTCATCTGCTCCACACAAGAGAAGATGGACAAATGCTTTGAGTTATTGAACGAACAGTCAGAGTACATAAAACGCAGCTATAAAACGTTGCTTAATAAGGGCCGGTTTAAAGAATTCCGTAAGAGTGATAGAAATACCATCGTACACTACGACGCCATCTAGTTCGCAACCGCCTATATGACCGTCTATGTATTACGAAAAACTGCATAATTTGCCCTAACGGTAGAGACGGTGATTGCATGAGTTCGGGTACAGTCTATCTGATCTCTTGTAAAGCGTGCGGGGGCGAATACGTTGGCGAAACGGGTAGACCACTCTCATCCGCATAAAAGAACCCCTAGTCGGTAAATCTAAATTAAAACCAAACACTCCACTAGGCGCGCATAGGGTGCAGGGACACAACGGAGAAGATTTTGAAGTAGGAGTCACTATCCTCACGCACGAATCAATAAACATCAGCGCGTTAAACTCTTGAAGAGTTTTCGATTAATTCCAGAAATGGCCCGCAAAGAGGAGTGTCTTGTCATCACGCGTGACCTGGCGCCATACCTCAGGCTGATCCAATGACCTGACATGGACACAGTTATCGACCATGTATTACTCTGTGCGGCGGCTATCCACCAACTAACTTAAATACTTACAAGAAATAAACGGTAGGTGTTTGAATGAAGCTGTTTTTTATGCGAATGCAAATTTATTTGTTAAGCTTTATCTGCTGGGGTTGTGAAAGTGTTTGGCTGAGTAGATCACATCTCAATTTGACCTTTCTAGGCTCTGAAGAAGGCGAAACCGCCGAAACGTCAGCAATTGTGTTCTAATAAATTCTATATTAACAACCTCGTGTCTGCTTATTGAAGAAAAACATTGAATTATCAATTAATGCCGAGGTTAACGGAAAGTCGGTCTTGGGAATCTGAAAGTGGTAGATCGACCATTTCAGCTGCACTAAATCCCGCTAAGGCCTCTTCTGTGCAGCTACTGTTAAGTAACAGAATATCAACAAAAAAAAAACTGCATTTTGCGATGGGTTCCATCAATTATGTTCAAAGGCATTCTTTGACGACTTGTATGCAGCGCCTCCGAGAGCAACATCAACGCCACTAAGCGGGAATGCATTCTTCAACAGTATTTCAGATCTCCTCATGTCGTAGCCTTCTATATCTCTTCCACTGATTACAATTAACACATTGGACCTTAACGCAGCAAAATTAACTTGATGTTCAATACTAACCCTTTTAACTCTTTTATTTACAGCCTTTTCTTCTTAATGGAAGGGTATGTTTCGAATTATAACTCGTATGAAATGCTGAGATATTTGCAAAACTCCGGACCACAGGTGTATGCAGTGGGGAACGAACGCGCGCTGTTGTCCTTACCGGGAGGTCCGGATGGTGTAGTGGTGAAGTGCCCTGCTCCCCGGTAAGGACAACAGCTCGTGTTCGTTTCCCACTGCATATACCTGTGGTCCGGAGATTTTGCAAATATCTCAGCATTTCATACTAACCCTTTTGTTCATTCCAGCTGGATATGACAGCAAAGATTAAAGCATGCCGTAATCCTTCGACTAACAAAAGATCGTTATCAAATATGTGCAATTCGCTAACACTGAGCCGTTTCACAGGCATCACAAACTCAGAAGTGGTTTTTAGATAAAATGAATAAGCTGCCTTTTGTATTATATATCTTAACATCGCAAACGAATTTCATCCCAGAACTACTCGAACACGCTCGAACTGCTGTCAACTTGAGCAACTGTCGTGCAACGCTATTGGAGCATGATTGGAAGAAAACTGGAGGAAATACTGTTTGCGAGAAGTTTATCGTGAATAGTTTCCTGGCAGTTGCATAGTCTTGAAACAACTTATGGGGCTTCTTCATTCTTTCTTTGTCCACTATTTTTTCGTATAGAGAATATTTTGTAGGTGCTACTTCAGTTTTTCTGTTTATCCCCGATATGATGGCGTAGGTATATGTTTCAATGATGGATACGTTATTTTAGGTCGTCTTTTACTTTATTTATTTCTAACACAGCTCATTTATTGTTGGGAATTTAAGATAGCTTTTTGTTGAAAGACACTTGTTCGGAATTTGACAACTATCATAATGGTGCAGTCCTCCATTACAGAAGAAGTCAGAAGAAGAAGTCTTTCGTTCCTTAATTGTTCATTCATTTGAGGTCACCATATCTGTTGGCAGTCCGAACGTCACATTCTGAGGCAGTACTTTTTCTAGCGCACTAGCTTTCTGTGCTGCTCTTCTAGGAAACAAAGTCCCACTTGTTCCCACACACACAAGGTGGTGGATGATTTTCGAAAATTACTCCATTAATAGTACAGAAAATCAATAGAGTATAACAAGAGAAACGAACGAACTATCTCTTAAATACAAATGTAAACACATACATATTCGGAAAGTCTCTTAAAGTACAGATACGAAGTGTTGACGAAATGTATACAGTTCTGTTTGGCTTATGCCTTGAGATTTTAGTGTAGGAATATTTCGAGCGGTCATTAGTGCCTAATTATGTACAGTATAAATTCGCTTCTTTACATTTTCTCAATATGGAGTGGATCGACTTTGAATGTTGTCAACGCCTTACGAAGTGCCTTCATATTGTCGCACATGAACCTCGGCTTGGCCTTGTCTATTAACTTCTGCACAAACGACGGGACTTTCACATTCAGATCACATTGGAAGTACATGGTGAAGTCGACCGAATCTAAATCATAAAAGATGAAATCGATAAGCAAACCACGATCGATAAGGTGAAGGAATGGAAACATCGCAAACATTTCCAAAGCTGTGGTATATAACCACACTTGGTTCCAGGCGGTGTAGCAAAAACACTATTGCAAGTCCCTTCGAAATTTCCTCACAAATACCGTCGTCGTAATGTTAACTTAACTGGTGCTTTCAACTACAGCCGGAATCAATGCCGATTTGTGCTTACCAGATCAATCCTGTTCAAGGGTGACTGCTGATGACATTGGTAGATAGAAAACTAGCTGAGAAAAAGGCGAAATGAATGACCCACATGGTGTGGTGTTGAATGCGTTAGTCCCCGGAAAGGGTAATAACGTGTTCGATCGCCACAGCAGACACCTCCGATCCGGAGTTTTCCAAATATCTCAGCATTATTATGATTGTCATTATGTTTTCAACTTATTATTTACTGCCTACTCTTTTTAACGGCAGGGTACATATTGTGAAATATAACTTCTTCAATGATGCTGAGATATTTGCAAAACTCCGGACCGCAGGTGTATGCGGTGGGGAACGAAAAGGAGTAGCTACTCCCCGGTAAGGACAATAGCGCGTTCGTTTCCCACCGTATACACCTGCGGTCCGGAGTTTTGCAAATATCTCAGCATCATTGAAGTTATATTGTCATCATTGTTCGTTGTAACTTTAAGCAACCAATGAGAGTGAATCAGTTCCTATACGACTAACAGGAAACGCAGAGATTAGTTTTGAGAAAAAGTGAAACTTGGCTATGGCTGGCTACAATATGAGAGTTGTCATAAAATAAACGTGCTATGCTGCTCATAAACTCCTTAGTGCTTCTGATATCTCGAAAATATTCTTCGTATTAAAGTGCTCGGAATCTCTTGGCTCACTATGCACATCTTCTTCAACATCCTACTCAGCAGTCAAAAGCTAAATTGTCAGAAGAGAGTCTCTCACGACAATGAAAATGCCTCCTGAAGCTAGAAGTGAGCTTCCTTTTATTTACCATTTTGCAGCACTGTTTTTGACTGGTATAAAACTCAAATCAATAAACCCAAACTTTAAAGAGAAAGGCTTACTCTCTCCAGTGCTGCTGATGCGGTACCCTCCGAGATGTTGGTATGTTCGCACAACATCGTTGGTTGGAGCTGGACCGGCTGTCTGTATACTCCTCGCAGCCATGAGAATTCGATCTCCTTCGTACTTTGTCGAAACGATATCCACCCAAAATTATAACTACTTAAATTTTCGTTGTGCTTTCCGTTAGCTATTCTGCCTACTTCAGAAAGTATTAGGTTTGATCTAAGAAAGATTGAATAGGGTTAAAGAGAATTGAAAACCTAGTCTTCGACTTAGTAACAACAACAATCTATGTTTTATATGACCAAAGTCGAATGAACTTAGAGGTTAGCGTTGTAAGAATTAGTGCAATCTAATAATACCGAATCACGAGCTGACAGAGGGAATTTCTTCTTGGTCACGTGATGCATAAGACGATAGCCATTGTCGAATTCTTTGATGAGTTCACATTTCTAAAAGCGAACTGCCAATGATTCCTCAACGAACGAAGTTCGAAATATAAGTCGAAAAAGGACCTGCATGAGATCGTCCCATTGTAATCGATATGGTAGCCATGGAGCTAACAAAGCCTTCACAACAGCAGTGTTGGTGTTCTGAAATAAAGGAAAAAACCTAGAAACCAAAACCTAAGAAATGACTTTGAGTGAAGTCCTGTGGTTTCATAGAACTTCACTCAAAATTTACCTTTACGTGGCTTTAACTGGGTACAAGGAAGAGTCAGCCAATTCAAAGAAATCATCGATAACAAGAAACCTACTTTTAGAATTGTTCGGCATCTGATAATATCGACTGCACATGATTCAGACCCTTTTCTGGTGTGGAGAACTATCTCGTCCTCTGTCCACAGATGATCCCAACCTTCATCACCTCCATCGACCAGTTTCAACAAATCGGATATCACATTGTCACCGACGGCGATTATATCAGAAAACGAAGTCATCTCAGCCACTAAAATACTGAGAGGTGGTAATGACCGATTGAGGATGGTCATGAGAAGAATATCTTGTACAAAATCTGAGAACGGTAGCGATAGATTTGGGCATTATGAAGATCAAGGAGATGCACGCGAGAAATTGAAGATTTCAGCTGCTAGGATATTAAAAGTACGTATTGACTACCTTAGGATAGCCAAGAGAATAATATCATGTACATGATTTGAGAACGAACGATTGGGATATTTTAAGAAGTTTCAAGGAATTATAGGATAGAGCTAAGCAATGAGGAGATCAAGCGACTACGACTTAACGCTCTCAATAAAACCTAACCCAAGTGATGATGTTTAAATGAAGACAGGATTTTAATACGACGAAGTAATGGAACACACCAATAAATATTAGTGCGAGAAGAAGTACAATTGAAGTCCTTTGAGAAAAAGGACATCCTACCAAAGCTGGTTCGCGTATCCCTAACCAGTGCCGATTGTAATGTCACGCTCGGCGACCGACAAATATTATATTTTGGCGGGAGAAGAGTGGATATGCATTAGATCACTGGTCGAACAAACGAACAATCGAAAGCGAATACACGAATCCATTGGTGAAATGAGGCTTTCCTCAAAACTCATCGCTAATGTTTAGGTGTTTATAAGTTTCATGTGAACCGAAAAGTTCAAAGGAACGTCTCTGAGCATTCATGGAAATGATTTGGTGGATAGTGTAGGTTATTTTCCCTATCTACCCCACTATATTTGATCTACAAAATCATTAACTAGGGCGCGAAATACACACAGTTCTGGGTGCTGTGGTTAGAGATTCTCCTGAGATGTTTTGGACATTTTCCCTAGTCGGTGCGTAAGACTAAGTAGTTCTAGATAGAGTATGAAGAAGTGTGGAAATGTGAAAACATTAAAGAAGATGGTAAATAGTTACTGAACGTTCATCCACCCGTCCCTGTTTCTTTTTCACGGTGTCTTTCCATTGTGTGGGTAGGCTACTTATAAGTAAATACCTTTGATTTTTATGCTAATTTAGCTTTTACCTGTATTTTTTCCAGAAACAGTCGGTTCATAGCGAGGGATACCCGGTCTTTCCTTCTTATTCATATTTCTGTTTTTTTCTTCTCATAGTTAAGCACTTTTACTTCGTATACTGTGACCACATGAAATCTCCCCACTTGTTTGTCTACCTTTTCTGTGCTTCCTTCTCCGTAATGAGTCAAAAAGAAACTTTAAATGGAATGGTTATTAGTGTCAAAACCCCACGCGCCAATTGTTATGTGCTGATGATCATTTAAGAGCATATTTTCTTGTAATGAGTTCCCAGAAGATGCGATTTTTAGTTTCTACCTCTCACTCCTCCTTTTATTCAGTTTTCGCCAGCCCTATCCTCAGCGCTTAGTTTGTTCTCAGCATCTCTTGGCTTTGAAACAATTTCCTAGTAATATTCATCTGGAAAGTAACACCCTTCAGCCGCTTACTAAAGCACCTGATAGTATCCAGAGAACACTGGGCGACAACTACCCATGAATTTTCGGTCCTTGTTTTGACTTCTATTTTCTTGTTTTTGAAAATCTTGAGTACCCAGTTACGACTTTCGATTTCGCGAAAATGTTTCGCTTATCGTTTACTGTCATTACGGAAGTCGCCGTCGTTAAGACGGATGATGTATCTGCTATCATCAGGTCATGCGAAGTTCATTCATGGTCAGCGGTGAACACGAAAACGAGTACTGGTCGTCGTGTATATTATGGACATTGATTTTTTTACGGTGGACCGTTGCGATGTGAATGCGTTGAAAAAAGTCGTTTCACAGTTTCGTGGATCGAAATCATGTTGCTTGAAGCTGATTTGAATCCGATTTCTCTTACCATCCAACCTAAGAAATGTTCTCGTTTTCATGGTGAAATATTGGTTGCGGATTTTTTGAGATAATCATTGCGTTGCTACAGGGGTGAGGGCGCGAAATTCTTTGTGATATCACTTCTTAGTTCTTTCTCGACCAATCGCATTGATTTCAATGCATACGGTGGCGTCATTACTCTCGGTATTTTACTTTGTAGCAAAGAGCTGTTTTGACACTATTTGTGGTAAGTCGATAGGTTGTCGAACACAGACTTTATACAGGAACCGAATCAAGAAAAAGTGTTTACAATGCATAAACAATCTCTTATCGAGCGAGCTGACTCGTTTGCTTGAATTCCATGGTGGACATTATCCAATCTTGTGTGCTTACACACTAATGTTTGGAGTTCGGCGGCATGTTGTCGTCACGAAGAGAAGGAAAATTACCAAAAAGACCTTTGTGAACGTGTTTGTACTTAGTATAGGAGAGGCCTATGTGTCCACAAAGAGTGCATTTATTAGTGTGTAACCTATGTCGTTATGAATTAGCATTTTTATAATGTCGGCAGATTGGAAAAGAACGTATTTTTTTGCAACAACGGTTTTACGATTGTCCGATGATTGAGCTGTCTATCCAGAAAGCGATTTAAGTAATGATGCCTCTTTTGTCAGCTCGATAAAACCCTCCTGATATTCGCCCGCCCTTAATAAAAAGACGGGTTGGTCGTGGTAGCGATGCCATTTATCATGAGGATAGTGCTCATACGGATGGTCAGGTGTCAGAGATAGGTCGGAGCTTCGAATCTCCTCTATTTGCGTGACACGGGATACTCCCAGCATCGTCCTTTTGCCTGCGCGTTCTACGATGTCATGTGATCTTCCATTCTGGTTACGTAGCAAACTGGTTTTTGAAGATGCACAAAGGTAGGAATAATCGTAGAGCGAAAAGTCAGTCGAGTTGGGCGTTCCTGTTCTCCTTATTATACCTTTGATGTTCCCAAGAACTCCATTAACTCACTCGCTTTCTCAAGCTCCTCTCTCGACCTAGGTCGCTCATCATATTGTTTTCACGACATAGACATAGCTGGACCATTGAGAGATACTCATTAGGTTGAGCGTGAATGGCGCATAGGAAGACATTACCTTCATAAACATCGCTTTCATGAGATTTACTCAAAGACCAATCCTTCTATAAACGTTATCAAAGCCAGCTAGCATTCGTTCCGCCTGGCCAATGCCTGGTGTGATTGGAACGACCAGCAAAGAGAAGATGGTGTAATCGCCGACCAACACTTTCTAGTCCCATGTTGTTCCGTTATAGCTTGCATAACGTTCCCGGTGGCGGTGGTGAATACATTTGGTGAAAGAGTATCGCCTTGCCTATCCGTTTTTTTACATCAATGTTTTACATCACGATATCATTATAAAATGTTGGTAGTTGTAGATAGCTGACGAAGGGTCTTTATATACTGAGTAGCGATGCCCTGGCTCTCCAAGGCAAGTGCTTCTATCTCAACTGGATCAAAATTTTCCTTAAATTGGTAAAAGTAGGAAGAGCGGTCTCTGTGCTCTCGTGATACTTTAATGAGTCTTGTTATCGTGTGGATGTGGTCCATCGTACTAAATCCTTTTCGAAACTCTGCTTGCTCACATGGCTGCCCTTCTCCCAGTGTTCTGCCAATCCTGTTTAGGATGACTCGAGTAAAGAATTTGTAGACGACAGACAGCAGGCAGATAGTTCCCGATATCGTAGAGGTCACACTTCTTAAGCAATAGCATGGTCTTGCTAGTCTTCTACTGAATAGGGACAGTGCATTCAGACAGTTAACGTGCTGAGAGCCGAGCCAGTGTGTTTACGAGGACTTGTGGAAGGTTCTTCACGTGTTCAGATCTTATCCCGTTCGGATCTGGTGTTGTTCGAGCTTTCACCTAAGATACAGCATGCTGGATTTTGAAAGAATGAACCGGTAGGAAGACATACTCGTCTTTCTTTATTCGATATAAAAGCGAACGGACGTGGCTGTTGAACAGGTCCAGGTAGTAATCGTGGATGTTTTTTTCCACTTTCTTTGTGGAAGCTGTAACTATTCTGTGTGGGCGTAGGAGTACAATCATCTTGTTCTTGAATATTGCGAGGGTTCAGTTGCGTTGCAAATTTTTCTAGGAGGCTTCACAGCTCTGGCCATAACTGTTATTCCTCTCCACCTAATATCTTTTTTTGTAGTGTTTCAGCATTGTTTTGCAAGTTTGGACATCAGTAGACGATTACCTGTGGTACGTGTGATTCTTCGATGACATATCAAGTCATATGTTTTGGGAACAGACGTCTCTTAGTGACACTTGAACTCTCAGCTTTCTTTGCGCATACGTGGAGTAGTTGAATAAGTCGGTCGCATTCTTCGTCGATTTAATGAATAACGGCGTTTTACCATGGGCCGGAAAAAGGTCTGAGTACATTCATATCTATGGTGGTTTTGAGAAATTGTTCTTTGATGTTAGCAGATTCATCTCCTTCCAAGGAACGATGAAATTTTGCATGAAGCAGACGATGGTCTGATACCGTGCTGAATTTGACGGAGTAGTTAGAGGTACCGGTTAGGCAAGCCTTCGGTTCACCATGACCTGTTAGATTTCGTTATAGTATTCTGCATTACAGGAACGCTTGTACTGCAGTGGTTAGAGTTGCCTTGCAATACACAAGGGCTCGAATGCCGTTCACCAGGCTCACCAAGGTTTTCACTTTTCCGAGGTCGCCGAACTGGTAGCAGACTTGTCTGGGCGGCCAACAGCATTGGCTAGATACATCGGCAAGCCACCACAACTATAGGCCAAAAATGTATTCATTCACCTTTAACGATTTTTAGTAAAGTCGAATGCATCGCGCATCCTTTAGGGATTGTTCAACGCCGAGAGCTTTATCCTTGATCCTTTTATCCTAAATATTACAAAGAATACTTGATCAAACGTTGTAAATTTAGCGTTTAAACGATTTCTTGTTAGAAGTTAGCAAAGAGGTGAAGCCATTATTGAACAGTTGGTGGAAGATCAAATAAAAGAAAAGCAAAGACAAAAAGAAGAACAATTGCAAGAACAAATAACCTATTTGGGCTTTTCAAACATAAAAATAAAAAACAAAAAGGAGTGTAGGCGCTTCCTTCACT